CTCCTCCTCCTCCTCCTCTCCTCTCCTCTCCTCTCTTCTCCTTTCCTCTCCTCTCCTTTCCTCTCCTCTCCTCTCCTCTCTTCTCCTTTCCTCTTCTCCGATGCGTGCGTGCACAGATCGGTCTGACGCTGGATAATTATCGCCATCGGCCGGTGCCGCGCAGCGCCCGAGGTCCTGGACACAAGATGGGCTGTCGGGACGCTGCGCGCACGCCCTGTGCACCTCGGTCCCTTTCCTCTCCTCCATCTCACGTCGGGGAGCGCCCAATCGCCTACAGAGCGCGCCTCGAGCGGTAGCCCGCTTGCGCCCGCCGCCGTGGGAGGAGGCCAGCGATCCACCCGCGCGGGCCCCACTCAGGCCCAGACCAGTCAGCCACAGCCGGGGAAGCCGTGTCCCGTCATCGACGAAGACGCCGGCCGAGTTCCACCGTCTCCAGAGTATTTTATGGAGCACGGTGGCGGCGTTGGTTTGGGGATGCGCCCAGGAGGCGCCGGACCCTGGAGGGCTCCCCATCTGATGAGGGCGGCAGTGAAGGAGGAGGAGGAGGAGAAGGAGGAGGAGGAGGAGGAGGAGGAGGAGGAGGAGGAGGAGGAGGAGGAGGAGGAGGTGGGGGAGGAGGAGAAGAGGGAGGAGGGGAAAAGGAGGAGGAGAGGAGGCGGAGGAGGGGGAGGGGAGGGGGAGGGGAGGGGAGGAGGAGGAGGGGAGGAGGAGGAGGAGGAGGAGGAGGGGAGGAGGAGGAGGAGGAGGAGGAGGAGAGGAGGAGGAGGAGGAGGGGAGAGGAGGAGGCGGAGGAGGAGGAGGGAGTGGGAGGGGGAGGGGGAGGGGGGGGGAGGGGAGGGGGAGGGAAGGAGGAGGGGGGGGGAGGGGGAGGGGGGAGGGGAAGGGGGAGGAGGGGAGGAGGAGGAGGAGGAGGAGGAGGAGGAGGAGGAGGAGGAGGAGGAGGAGGAGGAGGAGGAGGAGGAGGAGGAGGAGGAGGAGGAGGAGGAGGAGGTGGGGGGAGGAGGAGAGGGAGGAGGAGGAGAAGTTGGAGGAGGAGGCGGAGGAGGGGGAGGGGGGAGGGGGAGGGGAAGGAGGAGGGGAGGAGGAGGAGGAGGAGGAGGAGGAGGAGGAGGAGGAGGACGAGGAGGAGTGTCCACGGCCAGGCCTCCGTGGGCGTTCTGCCGGCCGACGGGCCCTGGCTTCCTCATCCAACGGTCCCTCATCCGGTGCCCTCACCGTGTTGGGCTCGGCGCCCGATGGGGGGGGGGGGGGGCGCGCCGCTCGCGGGCGGGCCTGTGGCCTCGGAGGGGGCCCGGAGAGGCCAGCGGCCCCCCTCCGCCCGCGGCCTTGCGAGCGCCTTTTGGCGCCGAGGATCTCTCTCGCTGCGCGCGCCGATCCCCCCCGGGGCCGGTGGACGCTCCCCGTCTGGAAGAGGCCAGGCACAGCCAAGAACCGCAACCACGGCCGAGTGTTTTTTTCGGGAGGGCCCCGCCCGGGGGGCCCCCGAGGAGAGCCCACCGGCCTCGGCGAGAGCACTCTGGTTGTGATTGTGGTCGACTTGGCCGTCCAGAGGGGGGCAGGGGAAGGGGGAGGGCTTCTGAGAAGTACCCCTGCTTCTAAGAAGCTTTCCCCCCTCCCCGTGCTCCCTTGTGCGCGTCGCCAGCCACCGTTGGGAAGAGGAAGCGAGCCACCACTGCCACCACTTGGAGCGCTCCAGCGAAGGAGATGATATTTCTTCCTCGGCGGAAGGCGGGGGGGAAGGCCGTCGCAAGGCTTCGAAAGTAAAGGATGCCCCCTAAGAGATGTCAAGATTTTTGAACTCAGGGCTTCCAGAACCCTTCACCCGGAGGGGTTGCAGGAGGAGCTGATCTGCAGATGCAGGTGACTAGGATGGGCCCCGCAGTGCGCCGCCAACCATCCTCTGCCTCTCTCTGCGCCCTGGTCCCCCAGGTGGTGGCGGTGGTGGTGCACTTCCTCTCCCCCTCGTCCAATGAGAAACAGAACTCCGAATATGAATCCGAAGGCGAAACGAATTGGGATCGGGATCGGTCGAAATCGAAGCGTATCCATCGAGTCGGATGAGTCGGAGTCTGTCTTCCTCTGCCCTCGGCCCCCCAGGTGGTGGTGGTGGTTGTGCAGTTCCTCTCCCCCTCTGGCTGCTCCACCCGTTGGCCGCCTGCGGGGCGTCACAGTCGTCGTCGTCGTCGTCGTCGTCGTCGTCGTCGTTGTCGTCGTCGTTGTACTCGTCGTCCTCGTCGTTGTCCTCTTCGTCCTCGTCGTCGTCCTCCTCGTTATCCTCCTCGTCGTTCTCCTCGTCGTCGTCGTCGTTTTCCTCGTCGTCCTCGTCGTCGTCCTCGTCGTTATCCTCGTCATAGTCCTCGTCGTTATTCTCGTCGTCGTTGGTGTCTTTGTCGTCGTCCTCGCCCTCCAGGTGGTGGTGGTGGTGTTGCAGTTCCTCTCCCTTGCCTCGGCCCAGTCGGGAGAGAGAAGTTCCTGCCGACTGGGCACGGGAAATCGGCCAGGCTGGGGCCGACTTTTGGGTGCGTTGGCCGGCGTCCTCCCCCCCGACGCCTGCGCCTTCCCGCTGTCTTGGCCACGCGCAGGGGGGGAGAGGCGGAGGGGGGAAGGCTCCTTAGAAGCACCCCTGCTTCTTAGAAGGCGCAGGCCTTATCTTTAGGTGTGGGGCCGGCGCCTTCTAAGAAGCAGCCTCGTTCTAAGAAGCCCTCCCCTCTCCCCTTGCACCCTGGTGTGCGCCGCCAGCTGTCATTGGGAGCCAATTCGACAGCGCAAGCGCACCGCTGCGCGAGCTTCCCCCCCGACGCCGGCTCCTTCCCGCCGTCGTTGGGAGCCACTTCTCGGGAGCGAGAGAAGGACGCACACGTACTTGTATCCACGCTGGTTTCGAAAGTACGCGTTGCGCGAACGCTCCTATCACGAGGCTGGTCTCGCGGAAGGGGGGGCCGTGTGCATGTGCGTGGTTGGGCGCGTGCGTCCTCTGCGGGCTCCCCGAATTCGACCACGTATGCGCACCGCTGCGCGAGGTGTCCCTTCGACGCCGGCTCCTTCCTGCTGTCGTTGCCCGCCCATTCGACAGCGCAAGCGCATCGCTGCGCGCTTTTCCGTATTTGCGGTCAATGATCGCCCATCCCGAATGGTTTTTCTACTGATGATTTCCTTATCTACTATCAGATTAGTTGGTCCCTGCGGATTCTCCTTACTGTGATCGAATGATCGGGTCCACTGCGCATTTGCTTATTCGTGGTCACGTGAATTGGCGCCCGCTAAGGGTTTCCCCATTCAATATTGCTGCGCTTGGGAAGGGGCTCGCCTTGGGAATCCTTGGGGGGACGCCTAGGGAGGGGGCCCCTGGGTGGTGGTGGTGGTGGGTGGAGCTCGGGACCCGGGCTTCCCATTGTTGCTGGCATGTCTGCGTCGGAAATGAATGCGCACAACTGATTCCAGTGTGGGCCCCAACCTGTAATATACATACACAATTCAATACCGTTCAATATACTTCAATATATGATAATAGACTATAGCATTGTATAATACCATATACTATAATATAGCATAACATACTATATTACAATACGTTTATTTTAATGTATGTTGTTCTATTCTATTTTATAACATGCCATCCTATATCACATTTTAGTATATCAGATTATACTATACTATGCTATATTCAGCTCTAGTTTAGTACACTACAATTTAATACAGTATAACATATTCTATGTTGTTCTTATTTAATATCATATACTATGATATGATACAACTATTTCATGATGTAATAACATATCATATACTATTAAATAATAAAACTTCTATCTCTCTCTATATATAAACAGATACGCCGGGCCCCCTCCCGGGGCGTCGTCCACCTCGCTCACATCTCGTTTACGCTCCCGGTACCGCACTTCACGGCCTCCTGGGGATCCCCCACAAAGCCCAAACACAGCCCAAGACGACCCCAAGAAGCCCCCACAACGTAAAAGAATTGCCAAAGACGCTCCCAAGCAGCCCAGGATAGCTTTCGGGCGGCTCTCCAGGCTCCCAGGAGGCTTCCAAAAGACTTCAAGAGAGCTCCTAGAGGCTTCCCGAGAGCGCCCGGAGAACCTAAAATCGTTAATTTTCTTTGTTTGTTTTCAGGGTATTTGGCCTTCTCACCATTTCATGCTTCCAACGCTCCAAGACAGGCCCAGGATGAGCCCAAGAGCGGGAGCAGGAGGCCGCCAGAGACCTCCGAGAGGACCCCGGGCCCCCCAGAGGCCCCCAACACACCCCAGACCCCTGAGAGGCCCCCCGAAAAGCTCCGACGATGCCCCCAGAACAGCCCAAGAGAGCTTCGAGAGCCGTCCCGAGAGAGCCAGAAGAGGGTAACAACGTTGATTTTCAATGGTTTTTGTAAACGCTTTTCGCCTTCCCATCTTTTCCGGCTTCTAACGCTCCAAGACTGAGGAGTTTGGAATTATCCTGGCGAAGGATCCAACCATATGCAGTTGTGGGTGCCGCAATTGTGAAAATCTCTTTCGGTGAAACTC